CAGGGGATATTAGTTCCAAACCTAACACTTGGCCAATTTCTAACACTTGAGTATTTATAGAAATGGGCCAAATCTGCAAAGTTATCTTTTTCAAGAGTATATATCTTTAAATCCAAGACGAGTAAAACAAAATTACACCATATATTTATTAAAGATGGCTAAAACTATAATATTGAAACAATAAATGCCAATTTCAAACTAATAACAAGGTGAGAGAATTAGTTTTTGATGATTCTTGATTTCATTTTCGAACATGTCCATATTTTGAAACAATTACCGGATTTCAGCTCATGTCACGTTTTCGAAACATATCCTGGTTTATGAGACAATTACCGGAATTCATATCAATGTCAATTTTCAAGTATTTACTCACTTATGAAACAAAACAAGATTATTTGATAAGGTAAAATATAAACAAAATAGAAAATAAACAAACTGCTTTATAATTTAAAAATCATTACAGCATTTAGAAATCATAATAATAATATCATTTGTTCTTACAATATAGATTTAACTAGAAATGCGGGAATCTGTTTGTTTAAAATACTTGAAAATAAATCATCCACATCCTCTAATTTAACAGATAAAATGTGGAAACTTAGATTCTAGAAATAATTCAGAAGTTAATTTAGTCTTCAATTCATATGATAATTTTTTTTTTCAGTGATTTATTTTGTAAGTTATGAAAGCGAGTTTTGTTTTGAATTGTGGATTATACTCAAAAACGGGGAAGTGGGTTTTGTCTCGAAAACGCGACAATGTTTCAAATTCAGGATATGTTTGAAAATGGAAACCCTAACATTGTCTTAAACGGTCAAGAGTTTTAATATAAAAAGAACTCCTATTATAATTTTGATTTAAAAAAAAGTTTAAAATTGGGAATTGTTGTCCTCGTTATGCTTAATAAAATGTTGGTTATAGTTTTTATTAATCACTTTTACTCTGGATATGGGCCGGGATCCCAAAAACAGTCTTTCAATATGTGCCCATTTCTAACACTCAGTTAGGGTTTCCATTCGCAAAACTTTTGCGCAATTTTTGCGGAACGAAACGCAAAATTTTTCTTTCTTTGCGCATCAGTTTTGCGCAATCATTCGCAAAAGTCGTTTCGCGCAAAATTGCCCTATTCCGCTTTTGCGAAACTCAAGTTTTGCGCAATTCCGCAACTAGAGTTTTGCGCAATTCCGCAATTTCATAAGAATCAAACGGTTGGGGACGGCGTGTGTTTCTTAGATTCAATTCTGGAAAAATCTTGTTTTGGAATGTCTTCCTATTGGTCACTTTTACATAATTGACCAATGACAGTTAAGAAGAGTTCAAATCTCACAATTTTCTCGACAATTTTAGTTTTAGACATGCATATTTCCTAAAAGTTGATTCTTCAGGCATTGGTTACTTTCTTGCATTATTTTATATGAGATTAAAAAGATTTCAGAAATTTGATTAAAAAAATTTAAGAATATAATTCATACTTGATTAGGCAAAGCTTTTAAGGGTCACTTGAAATTATTTAATAGGATTAAAATATTGCCAAGTTTCACACTCTCTAAATTCTATTTTATTAATTTTGGTCCCTTAATTTAAACTTTTTGTAACTGGAAGTAACCAATTGAGTGTAGTATAATCGTTATCATACTCTTATGTTAATATTTCTTTTATGTATGGAATAAATCTTCAGTTGTTTAATTCTAAGCTTATAATATCAATTTTTGACAATTTGCCTAAAAAGTTACATGTTGCGTATAACTTGCGGTTTTGCGCAAGTTGTGCAAAAAAATTGCGCAAAACTAAAATTTCGTTTCATGCGCAACTTTCGCAAAAAATATTTCCAAGAAGTGTTAGTTTTGGAACTAATGTCCCCTGAAATAAACAGGTGCCTCCATCTTGAAGCAGTTGATCTGAGTACCTTGATTCATCTTTTACCTTTCGAAAATAAGGTCAAACTAAAGCAGGACAGCACTGCATTTATGAAAGTAAAATATGTAATTTTGTTGGTGTGCTTCACAGCTGTTATATAAAAGTGAACCTTAGATATTTTGAGGCAATTTTTAGAACCTCTGCATAGTATACTTTAGGTTTTACTCAAATTTTCATCTACAAAAATAGTTTGTACTTTTTAAAAAGTCTGTAGTGAAGTTTAGGGTCCAAATAAGAGAAGAACTTGGTAGATCGTGATGGGTCCTGGAGTACGCATAAATGAGATACTGTAGCTGAAATCTTGTTAACATAGCATTGCCTCCAAAGAGTTGGTAGCATCAAAAGCGCCTTGTTTTAAGAATTAAAAAATTTGGTCTTTCATTTTGTACCTTATAAGAATTGACCGAGGTATTGAGAAATTTGTTTAAAATTCAAAATATTTAATATAACCAGGGTTGTTTAAATCATTCAAAGAAGGAGGCTAAATTTCACCAAGTTTTTAAGACTTTCAATGTTTTTTATACTCCTTTGACATCTTTTAACTTTATGAAAACTAAAGACAAATTGTAAGTCGAAGGTCCAATGTCTGACGTATTGCACACTAAGTGCTAGAAATATATTACGTTTTTTTAGTTTCATGTTTCGCTTTAAGAATGTTGGCATTTTCCTCTGAATGTATGGTTTTAAACTCCTTATATAGAGAGGAAACTTTAACCCATTATTAGTGGACTTAATACTTCATTTTCAGTAGGGGTTGGGATGAGACTAATTTTACAAAATTTTATGTTCTTTCTATGCATATAATTTGTTTTGTTGTAGATGTTGAACTCGAGTAGGGGAATACAAAAATCTTAACACTGTAAAGGTTTTTTGAAAATATCTTTTAAATGGAGATGGATATTACCTTGCGTGGGATGAGATAATTTTTAGTAAACAGGCAGCCCGACCTTTTAGTATCTTAACGTCAATCATGAAATGCAGTCATTAAATGAGCAAATTGGATCTAAGATTCGGCTAAAATGAACTGTGCCTTGATTCTCAGTTTTTGTTGACCAAACAAATCTGAAAACAATTTGAAAATTTAGTTTAAGTCAATACAGATGCCATAAAACCCCAATAGATGTCGAAAATTGTGTTAAAAGTGCATTAAATTAGAATCTCAGAAAACAAAATTTTACGGTGATTACCAATTGAGGTGGTGGAGATTACCAATTGAGGAGCGCGCTTGCCGCAAAATACATTTAGGTGGCGGTGATTACTCGTCGATGAACTCTGGACTCCCCCCTCTTATGATATATCCATTCTATGTTATATTCATGGTCAATATATATTCTTACCATTTAAAAGTGGTGGAAATTAAAGAAAATCTAAAGCCTGAGACTGATGTGAAAAAAATTTACAGAGTATAGGAGTATGTATTTACAAGTAAAAAAGAACAAATAAAATGATACTAATGAATCGTGGAGAGCCAGAGCTCTCTGGCAGACTCTCTACCTTTCATTTGTCTCATATGACGAGTTAATCTCCCTCCAAATTTTTCTTTAACCAATTACATTGCAATTTGTTTTAAGATAAACTTTATCTTAAAAGATAATAAAGTTATGCATTTCTAACTGCAAATTACGTAAAAAAACGCAAGTTTTTGGATGATGAAAGTGCTTAAAAAGGCCTAAAATCTTTTTAAATTATAGAAAAGACGACAGTCTATGGCTTCTTATTGAACCCAATTGAGGCGTCTTGTTTTGCATTTTAATCCCAATGCCTGCTCTTTATATTAACCTCTTTGGGCTTGACTGCTTGCAATCCAAGCTTTATAGCTCTGGGTCCGTAAGAGGAGTGAAGGGGTTGCATGAATGGAACTATCCAATCTGAGTTTAGCTCTGTGGTTTGTAAGTGAATTGAAGGGATTACATCAATGGAACTATCCCTACTCCGACCGACAGCTGTAATTTAATCAATATTGCTTAAATAAATGCTTTTTAATTTGGCACACCAATATTCTAGTATGATTCAAATTTCACATCAATAGCATATTGTATTATGTGATTTTAAATCTTGTTGTGCCATATACAACCAGAAATAAAACCAAGGGGTCGGGTAACCGCCACCCACAGAGGCCACCTCAAATGATCAGATTTCAGAAAAGAAACTCCAGGCCTAAGCAGGATTAAATTCTCAATTTCTGGTTAAGTTAATAACTCAAGACAGGGAAGTAACCAGCATGAACTCGATAGTACGGATGAGACATAGTCTGGTTGCCACAACCACTTAAGCTAAAGCCAAGTTGTCGGTTGGTAAAGAGGCCTTGATAACACGCCCTGTCCGTGACATGATGGTTTAAATCCTGGATGAGAATGACATGGTGGAGAAACATTGAGGCTTGTAAAGAATTTTTTTTCCACCTGGAGTTGAAATCTGCATGTCAATGTCTTAAAAACATGGGGCTGTAGGAGAGAATTTGGCCTGGGAATAGTCAAATCAGTCGATCAGGAGAGGATGAAGAAATTCTCCCAACTCCCCATAGTGTTCCTAAGAAGCAGTCAATCTCAGGGGCAGAACTTCAGATAAGCTCCTAGCCATGGGTTAAACAAAGGTCTGCACAGGGCTCAGTAACATTATGCCTGTTCCCGAATGTCTAGTTCGTGAATGCCTAGTTCAATATTCCTAAATTGATGAATGCCTAGTTCGTAATGCCTAGATAAGATTATGCCTAGATAACACCATGCCTAGATTCATGAATGCCTGTATAACATTATGCATTTATTTCTGAATGCCTAGAAAACATTATGCCTAGATTTCATAATGCCTAGTCACCCAATGCCTAGATAACATTAGACTGAATTGAATGGCTATAGACATAAGCAATAAATAAATGATACTAATATGTTTATATTATTTATTACATATTTTATTGGTCAAATTTTTGCCTATCATGGGCCAAAGTAGAAATATAATCTGCTCTTGGCATGCTGTCAAAAGCATCAACAACAAACTTTAATCTTTCTCTTGCATCTAGGGACCTCTGTTTTCTTCCAGTGTTGGTTGTCATGTCCTGACCAACAGCATTAGATAAGTAGGCTCTTCTGGCCTCAGCATCCTGCTTGCTGAACAGCTCCTCAATACATTGTATAGGCATTCAATGCACTCTTATGTTATCTAGGCATAATATTATGTAGGTATTTATGAATCTAGGCATTGTGTTCTCTAGGCATTATGTTATCTAGGCATTATAAACTAGGCATTCAAAAATCTAGGCATAATGTTATCTTGGCATTCAGAAATCTAGGCATAATGTTGTCTAGTCATTAATGAACTAGGCATTCACGAACTAGGCATTCGGGAACTAGGCATAACGTTACTGAGCCTCTGCACAGAAAACCCGAGCCGGTGGATCTAGATGGCCTTCAAGCCCAGAATACAAGAAGATCTTAGGAAACCCAAACCTGTGACACGGAATGGAGAAGAGAACAGGAAACCCAACCTGTGGCTCTGGATAAAAAAAACCAGGAAACAGAACCTGTGGAGCCGGAAACTGTAATAGCAGTATACATCGATTTATTTCTTTGGTTCTTTTATTTGTTTCACTTTAAATAGAAATGTTAAACTATTTTGTTCTTTTATTGGTGCAAGACTTGATGAATACTAAAATATTTATCCCCTTTGGGTGATTCCTTTCTTATGTAACAATATATATTATATAGAATTAGCACTTGTAGGTCAGTATATCAATAAATCAAAAAATGTATGATTATTAAAATCGTAGCAGATTCCTAGATCTCCCAATTTGGATCATCAAGTTGCTTGAGTTCACCTGCAAAAAACCAGTGTCCTACGACAATGCTAAGGTGTGTTGGAGCACTTCAAATTTTCCAGAGAGTAATGTTTCATGACATCCCCCTCCCCCTCCTTCCTTTTAATATAAAAAAGGGTTGCTTAAAGTAAATTGACTATTCAAACAACAATTCGATTTAAGATTTTTTTATTTTAGTGTCCCATCTGCAGGTTGAAAGGACCTCTTTTGACAGATGGAATTATCTTTAAATTCCTGGAGTATTTTAAGGGGTGTATCGTAGAAATCAATAGTAAAGGTGAGAACTAGATCTTCTGATATTTTGGCTGCACGCATAATTAGTGATCAAATTTCCTAAAATAAAATCAATTGAATTTCAATGACCTCTAATGACCTCTAATTACCTTGAATGACCTCAACAAATATAAATGTTTCCACAATGGATTTATGCATATTTATATCCAGTGTATGACCTTCTAGTGACCTCTAGCGACCTCTAATGACCTGAAATGACCTCCAAATGAAAATGTTTTAGCTTTGGCTTTATGCATATTAATCGAAAGATAGAAACCCAGGGAACACAGTAGCAGCAACGAATCCAGTGCAGTTTGACCTTCTGATAGCCTCATGACCTAAAATGTTTAACCTATAGCTTTACGCATATAAAATGAAAGCTAGGAACCCAGGGAATACAGTAGCAGCAAGAAATAAATCTGTCCCTTTAAATCCCGGGCTCAGGTCTACATAGACCTTGGCGTCTTTTAAAACTTGCACCAAAATTTTAGATTTATCAATTTAAATGATTAAAGCTAATTAACCTTATGTTTATAGGGCTAGCTGTAGAGGTTGAGCAATGTGATGACACAATTATTGATTTAACTGAGAGCTTTAACTCCTCCTGTTGTATCCCCAAGATTATCTCCGCTCCAAACCTGACGAAGAAGAGGTCTGCATTGCAACTTTAATAAAAGCAAACCAGGGTAAAAGCAAGGTAATTTTTTTAAGTTTACGTCTTGTTTTACCACAATCTCGCAAATTTTTGAGTAATTTTGTATTGACCCTCGCGATTTTAAGAGATATAATTATATGGTAAATTCACAAAAGTACCCTCTACCTTGGAATTAATAACTTGCAATACATTTGGACTAGTATGCTTTTTATTAATTTTATTCCATACAGTTTAACCCAGAACTTCGGAGACCTTGAAGTAATTTATAAAATATAGTTTTCTAAACCTACTGATAATGTAATGCTGCAGATTTTTGAGAGTTGAATAATTATATGGAGCTCAAAACGTTTCTGCATATTGTATGGTTATTTATTTATCTTTACAAATACTGAGATTCAGGTATAATAGTAAAACAACATTGGAAAGAATTGTCTGGGTTCGACTGTACTTAAAAGTGAATTGTTAATAAGTCTTTCTATTTAAAATTAAAGAAAGTTGTGATAATTTTTTGTACATTTTAAGGTGAAACGGCCAGTCAAAATATTTACTGCAATGACCTTCATCAAACAAGACGACATTTGTCACTGTTTTATTGTAAATGACTTATGAAAATTATTGTATTTTTATTGTAAAAATAAATAGAATGTAACTCCATCTTTTTTTTAAAAAAAATTTTCAAATTTATTTACATAGAGCCATTTTTTATGAAAATGCTTAAATCCACCATTTAATAAAATGTTAAACTTATTTATGATTTTTAAACTTTTTTAGTTTTTTGCTTTTTGGTGTATATTAACATACCTCACGTTTCAAGACGGGAAAAAAATTCCACATACATTATGATAGGTATCAAAATATCCGTCTTGGAAACACTGAGTTCAGAAACGAATTGGTAGAAATTCAAGTCAAAATAAAGCAAGTTCTAAGCGAAAAAAAACATTTTTTTTGGAAAGATTATTGTCTTAAAGGGAATGTTCGAGAAAAATGAAAGGGGGTATTGGCTTACGGCGAAAAATAATTGCTTTTGATCGCTACTGATCTTACTTCTATCTGTTGAGTCTTTTTACGGAAAAAATGTTTGCTTAATGGGTTGGGAACTTGGGTGGGGGGGGGGGGGGGTAGCTTGTATCTCTCCTCTCTCTGGTCTTCTTGAATATACAGATAGATATGATTCAATATGTGATTTATTATTTATGGTTCACTATCATTTAACGGGTCTGGGTAGATGCAAACTCGATACAGAAAATGCCTGCGAAAGGCCTGACTCAATTCTTAGATTACTTCATTTTTTGATGTTGGTACGTTATATGCTGGTATACTGTGTACTACACCAAAAATCCTGGTTCGATTTCAGGGTAAAAATAGTAAATAACGATCAATGATAAATTGATAAATTGATACATCGTCAAGTTAATAATGCTTGTTTCGGGATATAACCACCCCTCAACCAAACCAAACACGTAAAACCACGGAGGTGCAGAAAAGATAGAATTCCAGGCACTAGATATAACTGGTGCATATAAAGGTGTTCTAAAAAAGCGTCCATGAAGCAATAATACATCATTTAAATCATGTTTTTGTCGTCATGTAAAAAGTCGGCAATAACCTGAAACATTTCTTTCTGGTTTTATAAGTGGAATCCCAAACTATACGAATCCCAAAGGAATGTCAACCAATGTTGGGATTGGAAGAATGGGGATTAGGATGAGGACCAGAGGAAGTTGGAAACAATAATACATCATTTAAATCATAATATTTTGTTTGCTAATTGTCATTTGTCATGTAAAAAAGTCGGCAATAACATGAAACATTTCTTTCTGATTTTATAAGTGGAATCCCAAACTATAAGAATCCCAAACGATAAGAATCCCAAAGGAATGTCAACCAATGTTGGGATTGGAGGAATTGGGAATAGGATTAGGACTAGGAAGTTGGAATAGGTTAGATAGGGACCAATTGGGAATAGATAAAATAGGTTGGGAATTAAAATGGATATTAACTAAAGAGGAAACTGGGTTTGGGATTCAATGAATGTTAGGATGATAAAAAGGGTTGGTAAATTGGAGTTGGAGTAATTGGGAAGATTGAGTAATGAATGGATGTTTTATGGGGACCACTGTATTGGAAAGAGAATAAGCAAAATATAGAAGTTCAGAACGAAGATACAGATATAATAAAATGCGTGTATATTACACTATGGAGAATAAGTAATTTAGTGGATAAAAATGTAAATAAAGGGTGAAGACAACATTTTGGAAGGAATTAGTGGATTATTGTTAAGTTGGAATAAGAGAGGGAAAAGAGTATAAAAATCATCATTATAATGATTCAGTACTCTGAAACAGTGTATAGGTCTAAGGTTTGTAGGATTACAGATTATCAAGTAAACATATTTACATGCTTTCAAGTTAACAGACTTAATTGGTTAACAGAGTCAGAGGTTTAAGATTTAAAGATTAACTAGGCTTCCCTGTTTACAGGATTAAAGGAAAAAAATTACACATTTTCAAGGTTACAAGTATATAAGTTTGCAGGCTCAAAGATGTACAGGTTTATCTGTATACAGGTTCAAAGGTTTACAGGTTTATATGTATACAGGTTCAAAGGTTTACAGGTTTATATGTATACAGGTTCAAAGAATTACAAGTTTACAGCTAGGTGATCGGGCACGCAGGATTACAGGTTTGCAGGTACATGAGTATACAGGCTCACAAGTTTAAAAATTGATCAATCTATGGTGTAAGGGTTAAAAGGCTTGTAGGTTTACAATTTTGGTATTAATGATTTACAGATCTACAGGTTCATGAGTGGATAGGTTTGCAGATTAACAGGTTAACAGGTCTATAGGTCTACAAGTTTAAAAATTATTCACAAATTTACAGGCCTACATTGAACATGTGTCAAGTCTCAAAGCATAATATATACTCGAAGGTTTATGCCTGCAAAGGCTTAGAACTCTACAGGTTCCCAGGTTCAAATGTTTTGATTTAACTATGAAGCTTTTATAACATTAAATTTTTTAACAGGATAGAGTAGAATAAGATTACAGAGTACATTCTTGCGGGAGATAAAAACACTTCCTTGTAACAACATACCAGCTCAGGATCAAGGTGTTAAAACTAAAGGATCTATCAAGTGTTCAATTTTTACTGCTCTTTTAGATCAGCGTTTAGCGGCAGCTGAACAAGTCTTCTCTTTGATGACAGGAGCGGAGCTGGGCGAGTTCATAAAGCATCTGTTTCAAACCACAGCCACTTCGGCATCTCCAGGAGTTCAAAAAACCGTGTCCCCAACAAGAAGACCTCTAATAAAATGCGCTCACTTTTAAAACGGAGCGAGCTGGTCAACGCATGCACGGCTTGGCACCTTAGTAACCCAGACTCACTATACATTAGTGGCCTAAGTGCTTTGTAAAGGGCACACGCCCATAGTCCCCAAGACCTCCTCTCAGTCACCTTCAACAAGTTATTTGCCTGGAACAAGTTCAGTCTGTTCCCCTCCTACCAGATGTCCACACACCAGAAGATCTTGGACTCTGTTTTCTTCGGAGAATCTTTTGGTTCTGAATCTAGGACGTTATTAAGAAGAGTATTTGATGTAAATCAGCTCGAAAAAAGTGTTGAGTCCAAGGAGGTTGATCTAGTAAATAGCCTGAATCCCTTAGGTTTTATCTCACGGGAACTCTCTATCTTTAAGGAGTTTATGATGACGTGTCATGGTTCTAGAATATACCGCAGTGTTTGTATCCTGTATCATCACTTTGTTGTCATTTGGTTAGGCGGGTCCAGACTAGACAGTAAATAGGGATTTTTTATTTGTATTATCTCGTGCTTTGTAGTTAAATAAAAGTATTAAATGAAATGTTCTCATTTATTCTATTTATCAAAAACAAGGGGATTATCTGATTCTGGAGACAAATTATCTATTTTCTAAAATAAAATATGTAAACTATTTTGTTTGTTAGGATTATAAATATTTTTATTCAATTGAATATATTTATCATTAAATGTTTTTGCTTTTCTCTCAAAATATGAAAAAGTAAATCTAGTTTCTAAACAATCTAAAAGCAATGTTAACCAAACATAGAAAATAGAGCCTAAAGGACACAAGTGTTTTCATCAACCTTGATCAGCCAAAGGTTTGAATGGTACTGTTGTGAATCAGACAAAGGTTTGAATGGTACTGTTGTGAATCAGACAAAGGTTTGAATGGTACTGTTGTGAATCAGACAAAGGTTTAAATGGTACTGTTGTGAATCAGACACACCACTCTCAAAATGGAGAATCCCTTCTGCAGTCCTTATCTGGAAGTAAAAGAAGCAAAGGACAATTTTATTTCTGCTACTGTACAGTGTACATTCCTCAAAATTAAGATTTTAACACGAGTTTTTTTGCTTATGTCTGTTTGAAACCCCATGCATCAATTGCATTTGGTCTTTCTTTTTATTTTCTCCATATGTCATTTCGAAATAACAATTTATCTATTCTAAAATTTAGAAGAAAAAAAACTCTTCATTTTTAATTTCTTAAGTTTACAACAAAGATTTACAAATATGATATACCATGGTTTAATGAAAGTGAGGATGATTTCTTAAAATATATTCTTCTTTTTCAAGATTAAATATATCTGTTTGTACAAAAGAAAAAAGAAAATGTTTAAACAGGTTGATTTTCCTAGTTTGACCAACCAAAAAGATTTCTTACTAGCTCATTTAATCAATGGAGAAACTTCTCCCAAACCCTGGTTCCTTCATATCCTCAGTTTCTTCAGCTTAGACCGGAGACAGACAATCAGTACTCAAAACAAGACCTGGAGGATCTGGAGAAATACCAATAACGGAGAAAACTATAGACTAAACCTGGGGTAGAAATCTTCACTGTGCCATTGTAATATCTAGATAAGAGTAAACCATGATGAGATTAGAAGAACACTAAATCAAACCAAGAGAATAATAAAACTTACAAAGAGTAAAAACTTCAGGTTTCCTGGAACCACACCTAGAGTAAATTATACTTAGATTATGACTATACTCCAGACCCAGTATACTTCACCAGAACTGATGTACACAAGACTGATCAAGCCTATACTAGACCTAAAGTGTACTATACTAGACCTAAGTTGACCAGACCTGAAATATACTATAGACAAGACCTGGAGTATACTAGACCAGACCTGGAGCATATTATATTAGACCTGTAGTATACTTGGAGTAGACTTGAAGAAGACTATGTAAACCTGATCTATACTATACTAGACCAGACCTGGAGTATACTAGACCAGACCAGACCTGGAGTATACAAGACCAGACCTTGATTATACGATAGACCAGACCTGGAGTATACAAGACCAGACCTTGATTATACTAGACCACTACCAGACCTGGAGCATATTATATTAGACCTGTAGTATACTTGGAGTAGACTTGAAGAAGACTGTAAACCTGATCTATACTATACTAGACCAGACCTGGAGTATACAATTCCTGACTGAAGTAGATCAGACTAAACATAAAATTTGGAAAAAAAAAACTAGACTAAACTAGAATGGGAGAAATAACCTATTCTTACACCGTGTTCTATGTCACAGTTTTCCCATGTCTATGGTTTAAAATTTGTGATATTTCAAAATTAGATTATTTGAATTCATAGTTTGAAATATTAGTTACGAGATTGGGTTACTGAAAAATAGAACAGTTATAAACTAGTTTTGAAATTGAATCACATTAAGAATGATAAAAATTGGGAGGTCTGGGTTTAGATTTCTGTATTTAGTTCAGATATAATATTTTTTCCTCTAACGATATCATAAAAAACTGGGAGGAAAGTTTATCACGTCAAAAAAAAATCGAATTTTACGAAGTTCGGAATAAAAAATTCCATAAGATTATTAATACTTAACTATTCACCTTGTTCTATAGTAACAGATGGAAATTCAATCAACTGTTAATATCTGCTAAATCTTTTAAAATTATAAATAGATTTAAAGTGAAAACTTAAAAAGATATTTAAATATTCGGTATCTAAGAAACTATCCTAGACTTTTTAGTGAACTGTTTTGATAAAGAATTTGATTAAATACAAGATACGTTATGCAGATGTTATGGGGTTTTCTAGACTAACAAATATGATCACTCCTTCTGTGAAGATTTTGACATATAATCAAAAAAATAAACTATAGAAGTTATATAATTTTCTAATATTCAAACTATATAAGTTTTGTTAATGATATCATTAATCTAAAATATTTCTTCTAGCCAGGGAATATAAACATAATTTCATTTGTCAAGTGTCATGTCTGATTGAAAACAGTAGGTTTTTTTCTGATCAAAAATGAAAAAAAATCCTTGCTTTCTCTTTGAAAATTGATTATTTACAAATGTGTGTTGTCCATCAGTGAGTAAAGGCAAATATCACAATTAAACATTTTTCAACCTATAAAAAACGATGGTTTCACATTATATATTTATTTATATGGAGAGACCCTTGACATTACAATGACAGTTGTTTTAAGCTTGATTAATTGCGAATTAAACAATTACAAGGTAGAAAAATGATAAAGGTTTAATGGGTACCATTGTAAATCGGGAATGCCCATCTTTAACATGTAGGGTCACCATGCAATTACGTCTTAATTTCGTTCAATTTTTACAATTCCTCCACCGTTTCTTTAGCATGAAAACCGCAAGTCTCTGTTACAGAGAAACCACAAGTAAAAAGGGATATTTTAGAGAAATCATGGATATCTCAAACAACTGGTACCATTGTGAATCGGACATGCCACTATTTAAAGGGACTGCTAACGTATTTTCAAGTATCACATGATATCCATGATTTCTCTTCAACAAATTGGTTTTGTTCAATTGTGGTTTCTCTACAAAAGTGACTTAAACTCTAGAAATGAGTAGCATCCACGTCTTTAGTATTCTCCCTTATCCAGTCCACTTGTCTTGAAACCCGAGTATACACAGAGGGGAAATGATCCTAAATCAGAAAAAGTAACTGATTCTTATATTTTTCATCCTGATGTCTCAAACCGTTCTGTCAGAACTGGGGTTTCTTGTATTGCAGAAATCGAAATCAATTTCTAGAAGCTATAACCATCAAATTCCATTCGACATTTTCCTATACCCCTTTCATTTTTCACGAACACTCCCTTTAAGCCAGGTCTGGAGACGGCTCAACCATCTATCTTGAATCAGTGATTTAGGATTAGTCCATGTCCTTTATAGACGAAAATATAAACGGCAGAACAACCCTATAATTAACTGAATCTACAACTAGCAGTTCAGTGACCTAGCTCAAATTCATTAAATAGGACCCCAGCTTAATATATAGTTTACCTTCGTGCAGTTTTTTGATCCCCATGAAACAATTCCTTGTAAACAAAAAGAAATGAAAACTTAGTTCATCGCTAGGATTTAATCATAGAGAATAGAATATATATTAGAGGGGAATTTAGAGAAAATCTCGTTATGAATTTTTTCAGTCCCTTTCAGCCTGAATTATATGCAGTAGAGTACATTAATACAGTATGTTCCCTAGACTATTCATTTTAATTTCGAATTTTTAAAGCTGTTAAATAAACTGTATAATGAATTAGGTGAATAAAAAACATCATTTGATTTATAGTTATAACGGAAAATCATCGATTTTAATTCCTCTCTATATATTCTTTTCTCTTTGGTTATTTCAGAGGTGTACGCATGTTTTGTACTGCAGTGTATTGTCTCTGGGCGGTAATGTAAACACAAGACGGATGTCGAAGCCTGACATGGGATCCATCTTTGACATAAAATAATCAATGAAATATTCTGATCACAGGAAACTATTATGTGAATCATCAAAATTATCAAAATTCAATGCTTTTATCCTCCTCGGATATTAAACGAACACCGATGTATCTATTCTTGTTTACAAATTCCGCCCAGAGAGAACTACAGTTTCAATTTGTACGCAGAGTTTACGCAACTGCAATTAACTTTCCTTGCATTACATTCTTGGTTCATCGCGATTTATTTATATTATAAAAAGTGATTCTTACCAATTAAAGTGAAAGCTCCATTGAGGCCTTGAGTAACTAGTGGTCCTAAAGTATAAGGGTTTATTTATCCTAAACTAACTAAGTACACCCTTACAACTTGGGACTGGGTGAGAAGTAGTTTAACTGCGTAGACTTGATTAAAACATTTATAATGTGCGCTAGTTAAATTTAAGGAGAAGAGGCTCTTTTTGTTAAATGACAGCAAGAACAATTTTGGCTAATTTTTTGAATTTTAATCTTATACTTAAAGGTACTGTAAGCGTAGTTATACGAGAATATCCATGCAAAGATGGGAATGTCCGATGTACAACGCAACCCAATCTTAAAATGACTATATCCCACAGAAACCTGAAAAACTCAGGTTTGCTCCTGTTATACTTATTTTATTTTTATTTTGCATTTTTAATAGATATAATTGGTGATATTATGTGATATTATTACATTTAATCCGTATTACTTCACCAGAACTTCAGCCAATGACGGTGCAGTATTGGTGTCACGTGATACCGACGGAAATTGCGTGACTAGTTTTATATCAATTTCTCGAGACAGAAACATCAGATAGGTGTCTTATATGTATCGTTCAATGCCTGAGATTCTCAGGTTTCATCCTATACCCCCTTTCAGTTTTCCTTTACAGTCCATTTAAATATTAATTAATTTGAGCTGAGGTGACTTGTGTCCCTCGAAAATACTAAATATTTTATTTCCAAAGTGGTTTTCAGAAATTCAAAAGTATTTATTTATCTAGAATATTTTATTGTTTTTTAAATATGAAAAAGCTTGAAAATAAAGTGTTTAACAACTAAAAGCATTTTTGTAGATCAATAAGAATGAAAGTCCTTGATCAGTTAGAAGTTTGAAGGGTACCGTTGTGAATCGGACATGCCACTCTTCAAAAGGAGGGTCACTCGAAATTACGCATACAGTCCCCTTAACTATCTGTTATCTTTACCTCCTGAATCCCCTATGCATGATCCTTTATTTCCTGGCCCTGCTGCACACATATAACTATCATCAATAGGACAATATAGTGTTCCTGCAGTACTAGTTGCACAGCATTCATCATTAGTCAGCGTCAGCGTCAGTGTTTACATTTTATGAACCCCGCGCGCCATTCTTCAAATCTGTGGGGTTCGGACGTTAACGCGAGGGGTTCATGGTGCTCTGACCCCTCCCCCTCCCTCTTGTACCTCGACTTCCATAAGAAGAGTTGATAAAGATCCACCTTCTGATGTTCTCCCCCACCCAGATACCATGGCAGGCAAGTTTTCAAGCTCAGTTCCTCAATACAATTTAATTATTAATGTACGGCTGATTTAGAAATATTATAATTTAGGGATATTATTTTTTTTTGTGGGACAAGTATCTAATGGTTTATATTCAAGGAATATTTTACGTGGGTGTGACAACTAAATTGTCCCGAGCGCAGCGAAGGACAATGCAGAGGTCAAAAATTATTAATTAGAAAAAAAGACGGGGAAAGTTAGAAATTGTAAATGGAAAAATTAATGATGTTAATTTAGACAAAGTGACATAAAAGAATTGAGATATTAATCGAAAACTTAATCTTATTCGTCTTCAACACTTATTTAAACTTTTTTTTTACCTTGACTCTGAATGGAAGGCAGGCATACTGGAGACAGTGTCTATTTATAATATTTAATTCAAGATCATGTCTATTTATAACACTGTTATTTTGTTTTGCAGTTTTTGGACAGAAATTTTCTCTTTATCGAGATGGTTCAAGCCTTTTCAGATTTAATTTTTAATTTTGTCCCGAGCTTTAGCTAGGGACAAAATATAATCTAAAAAGACAAGAACCTTCGAGATAAAGAGAAAATTAAAGACCAAAAACTTTATAGCACGTGTCGTGCCAAAATATTAGTGTTATAGGTAATTTATGAAACGTTTGTGTGGCTGTTTCTAGATCAAATATGCTTTGAAACAAAGCAGAAGTCAAAATATAAAGTTAATTTTGATTTTAGTTTTATTTTAATTGAAAAAATATTTTGGAAATATCCTAAAATTTTTGGAAATAACAGGAACCAAATAAACTTTATAGCACACGTGTTATAATGTACAGCTAACTTAACTTTATAGCACGATGATTACTTTAATGCAAGTTCATTATGAAATTCATGATGAAGTGAGTAATAATGAAACACTATAGTTTCATAAAATATTTCATTTCTTTATAAGCTCTTCGCTCATCTATATATAAATTTAGCTTGTCTGGGTGTCTGTTTGTTTGTATCCAATAAACTTTAAAATGGCTGAACCGATAAGGCCCAAATTCTTTTTGAAAATTTTGAAAATTTTGAAATTCCACGAATGTTGTTAAATCCGCGAACTTTTTTTGTTTTGTTTTACGATGTACACAAAGAGAACATGTTCACAATTAAAATAGAAGATGGGCACGAAGCGCCCTAAAAGGCTAGAATCTATTTATAAATTCAGCTTGTCTGTCTGTCTGTATCCAATAAACGCCAAAACGGCTGAACCGATCGAGCCCAAATTTTGTGTGGAACCTCACGTGACCCCAGGGAAGGTTTATTAACGATTAAAATTTTGAAAATTTGTGTTTAAAAGTTTTTATTTTTGTAAAATTTTATGGATGCGCGAAAAAATATTATGAAATCCGCAAACTTTTTTGTCTTTGTTTTATACTGTACAAAGAGAAGATGCTCACAGATAAAGTCACAATTAAAAATTAAAATAGAAGATGGCTTGACATGAGGCAGAAGGAAATACAATTGGCCTGGGCAAAAACACATACAAGGAGTTAGTGTTCACGAAGAGCCCAAATTCATAAGATTAACTTGTCGTACGAGGCGAATGGAAGGCGGAGGGTCTGTCAGAGACCTCTGTCATTATCATTTTTACTTACTCATTTTTTACTTGTAAATACATTTTTTCCTATACTCTGTAGATTTACTTACATCAGTTTTCAAGGCTTTAGATTTTCTTTATTTCATACCATCTTTATATGGTAACAGTGTTACCATCAAACCTTTGCGCTGGAATTCTGAATGATAAATAGGCTTTTTCTCAGGCCACAGTTGTCTTTGAAAAGTAATACTAATGCCAATGAATAGCTAATAGGCTGTTTAGTTTACCTTCAAATCACACAAATAAGTGAACGGTCCCTTCAACGGTCCCGGCATTGTAACTTTGTAAATAAAGGGTAACTTGGAAATTACATCGTGGAGTCTTCTTGATGATAATAAAATCTGTTTATCCCACTCACCTCTGTATAAATGATAGGTTTGCATAGTTTAACAAGAGCAATATCATTTCCATCTCTGACCTCTCCAGTCCAATCTGGGTGCTCTATAGTATCCGTACACACTCCAACAACTAGCTGCCCATACGTTATATCGGTTAGATTATATTCACTCAGCTGGAAGAAAAGAAGGCAGGTAAAACCCTTTAATTTACAATTCTATGAACTACTTAAAAAAGGCTTGAAAGCATCTCATGCACGCAAATGTTAAGTATGCATTAAAAAAATATAAATATATAAACAATATCCTTCACTATTAATTGTTTAATTTTCTTTTCTAATATTCTATTCCAAACTTACCCCAATACGGAGTTGTTCTATTTTCTTATTATATGTGCAGTGCGCAGCAGTAACCACATACTTAACAAACAGACTGTGCCAATTTTTTAAATAAAGAAAGAGAAACAAAGAAATTAAGTCTTTACCACAAATCTTTGAAATATCAAAGATTGTAAAGATATAGGGAAGACCTGAAGTTCGTCTTTGATCTTTCAAATAATTAGCGACATTTATTAGTTAATCTTTAAAGTAAAATTCTAGAGTCAATTTACAACTAATCTTGGCGTTTCCAAAATATGTCTGCCTTTTTTTGTGCTTTCAATATTACCGGAGACATTTTTAAATTTTGTGAAGATTTCGACAATAAAATTAAAATTGAAATCTGACTGATATTTCTAATATCTCCGGTAATATTGACAGCACAAAGAAAGGCAGACAACATTTTGGAAATATAAGATCTAGGAAAATTTTCTGGTTATTGTTTCTAGAATCATTCATGTTTAATTAGGTTGACCACTAAATGTATAATAAATTCAAAGATCTGGTTATCTGTTTACCTGTTTACCTGTTTACCTGTTTACCTGTTTATTTACCTGTTTATTTACCTGTTTAATACCTGTTTATTTACCTCTTTGTTTACCTGTTTATTTATCTGTTTATTTACCAGTTTATTTACCTGTTTATTTACCTGTTTACCTGTTTATATACATGTTTACCAGTTTATTTACCAGTTTATTTACCTGTTTATTTACCTGTTCGTTACCTGTTTATTTACCTGTTACTTACCTGTTTATTTACCTGTTTACCTGTTTATTTACCTGTTTACCTGTGTATTTACCTATTTACCTTTTTATTTACCTGTTTACCTGTTTATTTATCTGTTTACCTGTGTATTTACCTATTTACCTGTTTACCTGTTTATTTATCTGTTTATTTACCTGTTTATTTACCAAGGTTCCACTGCACCATGTAAAACCTCCTGTTTTTATGAGAGAGGCAACAAACACCTGAATTTAATTTCAAGATATTTTTATCTTTTATTATTTGGTCAAAATCTATATTATTCATAGTTATTACAGTTATCAAAGCAGAGTGAAATTTAGGCACAGAATTTGTTTACTAATTGTTGTTTATTTACAATAAAACCTGTTTTACCCTCCTTATTTTAACTCTTATCACCTTGATTAGTCACAACGCTAAAATCTTTACAAAAAGGTCCTTAAAGTCTTTCCTGAAGCTATAGAACTATCAATTTTCAAATAAATCAGCCCTCTAAAGGCTAGGTAGAGCTAGAATCATTGTGAAATGCTAAAAAAGGTTTTCTGATCTGGATCCGTTATAATCGCCCCGTAAACTTTTTTCAGCAACTCTGTCACTATATTTAGGAGGTAGATATTTTTTAGTTGGTTAAATAGATATATATATATATTTGACTAAATATTTAAAAGAATAAATTATAGGTAGTGTACAATGTTTACAGTTTAATTTAGCCAGGACCCCTCTAACCATTGCTGGTTGTTTTGAATAAGAGGTTTTGTTCTTAGTTTCATAAATTGATAATGGTTTATCGTTCTTCAAAGGAAAGGTTCTGTAAAGAACTTACCCCCCCTTCACCCTGATTGCTTTGAGGTGCGTTTTCACACATTCAAGGTTATTTCGGCGTTTAATGTGATCTAAAAGAATCTGAGATGTTTAACACTTCTTTTCCTTAGCTTTTATAGCATATTTTTTTCTGGCAACAACTATTTTAACCAAAACGATTCTTGAAACCAATTTATCAAAACAGCATATCATAAGAAGTGCATATAAATTATACGTACATCCTTATTAATCACATATAATTAATCATCTCTCGGGAGATTTCCCGTAAATTTCCGGAAATAACCTGAATTCCTTCAACAGTTTACGCTGTGGATATCAAGTTTGGTATATTCCAACTAAAGCCTTGAAACTCTATTCATTATAAAAACTATAAGAAAAAGTATGAGCCGAAAAAAGTATGAAGTATTGATTGGTACCAGGGGTGTCGTGTATACAGGGGGGGGGCTATAAGTGCTTTGCCCCTTTCCCACTGACATGTCGAAAAAGGGCTTCCCCCCCCCCCACTGAACAAATCCAGTTACACCCTTTGATGGTGTATAAGTGAAGTCAAATGTTGGATTTTAGTTGTCTTACATCTGTACATTCTGTTGTGAAGGGGCCAGGTCCAAAACAGACACGTTTTCCTGAAATATTTTATTCAAATTTTATAATAATTTTATTTTTGCAACCTGATGGTGTAAACCTTTGATATTTCAAACCTAGATAATTTGAATTAACAAAATGCATAGTTTTAAATATCTAAGGTCTACAGCATTGTTTTGTAAAGATATTGGGATTAGCAAATCAGAGTTAGTAGCAAAGACTCAATTCATTTGTGGATTTAGAAACACAGATTCCGAGGATAAGAGTCACAGACTAGATATATACAGACTGCTAATCAGCTTTCATAGGGTGGGCTAAGTAGGCATATAGTCGTACCGTTACGACATGCTATATCCTTACAAAATGTTTCTGACTGCCATCTTACCGCCACTTGTTGCATATAATACCAATTCAGAGGTTAAGTTTTACAATTTTTAAAGAAATATTTTACTATAAAACACAAAATTTATAAATTTAGTCTATTTTTGAAGGTTTATATTTCGTATCCAAATGATCCTTAAATATCCCTGAATATAAGCGTCTGCTTATTGGTAGTGACGTCCGTTTGTGCACAATAGAACTCGTTGTAGAAAATATCGCATATTCTAATCAAATAAATTAATCCTGTGTCATGTCAACAGAGTTCCCCTGCGATATTTCGTCCCGAGTACCTACCCTCATGTTGTCCGTTTAACCCGGCCCATAGATTTACCTACAATATTAGATTCTAAAAATCACAGGCCGATATTTCTTATTTTTTTTCAATGCACTTATAAAGCAAAATATGCAATAAAACTGTTAGGTCTCCTCAAATAGCTATATATTCTTTTATTTTTTGAAAGGACACGTAAGATTTCATTACTATTTGTGAGTTTTTTCTTATAATAATAAATATGAAGAAATAACTTAAGAATTATTTTCACATATTATAGTTTTTTAAACGGTACGGTGAATATTTAAACATGTTTTTCTGTCAAAACGTAATAATTACATTGACGCATAAAGTGATAACTAAATAGATTCTGGGTACAATAGATGGCAACGTAGAATTTAGTACACTCTCAGTACACCTGTATTCTAATGTCACAAGTGTCAACTTATTTTTTTGTCCGACAAAACTATTAATAATAGTGATAATTTTAGAATAAAGTGCTTATCTTACAGTAAAATAAGTTTTCTTTTATGTGTTCTCTATTTTCCGTTTTTACACTTTTTTATTTTATCTTGAAAAACATGTCAAATAATGTGAGAAAATTTTGTTTTCCTTGTTATATTTGACACTTGTGACGTCATGTATACTCGGTTCATTTCTCGGTTGCAACCTATTGTACTTTATAATCTATTTGGTGATCATAGGAGGATGATATGAAAGCAATACTGTAGTGCATTTGATGTTGTTACAAAGCAAATGGCTGTGAGTTATTAAATTTCTTAAATAGGTCTGTTTGCAATGCACAATTGGTGTGCCTCATACTCATTGGACTATTCTTGAGTTTAAAAGTCGACTTCCTATTCCAGAGTTTTCTGGTTATCCCTGTCATGTAGTTTTTTTTTACTTTGATTTTGATATAAACTCAAAAATAATAAAAATTTAAATTTTGGCAAAATAAAAGTACCTGATTTATCCCCTTCTATACTGTAGGTACATCCATTAAAACATTTAGACGGTATTTTAGAAGATTCTACAGTGGATTCGTAGATATATGTAGCTCCACCTACCACACTCTACGAAAATATAGATCACAATAGAAAAAGGGAGAAAGCTACAATACATGTTCCTGTTTAAAGGGACTGCTCCCTTTAAACCTTAATATGAAAAACAAGGTGGAAGATATCATCGTTTTTCTAGCTTGAAATTTTCAAATTTCCTTCAAAATATTTCTACGATCCTACTACATATTTATAAATAGGAAATACCAGGACTGGGAGAGTTTACGCCTCCTATTAAAATAACACTTCTTTAATCGAAATAAAGATGATAAAACAATATCATAAAAACAATTTCCTCCATTATCTCTGAAGCAGAAATGTGCGAGTCACTTTCTTCAGGAATCATATGAAGATTATTGATATCTCAAATTATTCCTACAACAGAGCTTTAAAGGGTACCGAACATACCATCACTCTATAAATGGAGAGTCAATTTAATTTACGACTATCTAACTAGTCTATAATAACGTAATTTTTTTCATCAATAATATTACATCAAAATTCAGATTATAAGTTTTAAACCCGGTCAAAAGAATAAAAAACTGCGTAGAATATTATTATAATTGCTATTTAATGCCTGAGATGATTTCATGGGTAATTGAATAATTTGATTGGGAGTAACAATTAAGATCTTAATGAACTCTTTTACAGAAAATTCAAAAATAGCTTGAAAGCCCTTTCAAGATTAGATGATGTCAGTTTGAGAGAGAAAAAATATTTTCAAGCGAAATTTTGCTCTGAGGGATAAAAAGCAAAGAATGTCTTATTTGTTCAACTTTATAAAAAACGAGGCTTTTTCGTTTTAATAATCTCAGCGTTTATTGTTGCTAAAAATCACAATTTTTAACCCTAATCAGGCTGACGTCTGTTTTATCCAAAATAATCTGGGGGGGGGGGTGTCTGAGGAGCCCCTCCCTCTATTTCTTTATTGTGCAAAAATTATGCGATCTGGTTCCTTTTGTCCAAGACTTTTCATTGAGCTATAAAAATTCTAAATTGGATCTCCTCTTTAATAGACACATTTTCAAAAACAATAAATGTTAAAATTTTTTTCTGAGAAAAATTAGTGATTTTTTACGGTCCAAAAACCTTTCCTGGGGTCATGCAAGTTGTCATGATAAATGTTGTCTCTATCGGTTCAGCAAAAAACCCAAATTCCCAAATACTTATTTATTATTTAGATGTAAAGATGTAGATACTTTTTATTTTTAGAATTAAAACTTTTACCTTTCTTTGGCAACATCTTCCAGCAGTTCCAGCAAACAAGATTAAAATAATACAAACTGTTTTCATCTTCAAGTTCCTTGAAATGCAAAATCAAACTAAGGTTTATTATTGATCTCCAAATATATTAAAGCAAATGTTGATATAATATCAAGTGCTTTTTCCTTTAAAAAAGAGTGTGCTCGATTCACATCTGTGCCTTTTGAATTTCTGCCTGATCAAGAACGTCGTATATATCCTTGTTTTTCTAACTTTAAATTCAGTTTTTTAAATATGTGAAGTCAATCGAACAAACAGATTATCGTACTCTAGATTTTTTTGACACTTGGTTTTCAGCCAGAAAATAATGAGTGTAAAATAAAATTTCAACCCCGGTGCATCAGAACGTTTCTTCAAAACTAGCTGAAGGGCCCGACGTTGAAAAAAAATTTCGATTTCTTTNCCACAAAAAAATTTCAGCTCAATCGTTCCAGCCGTTTGGCCGGCTATACTCAACACATATATATACGAATGTCTTGTTTTATTATATAGAAGATAATATGAATAACAAGCTGCATAGTGCATAGTGCATGAATTGTTCAGCTAAAAACTGTATTATAGTAAATTTTCAGAAAAATATTAAAATTGCAGATCTTCAACTGAAGTCAACTAAAGAGATGAAAAATAGAAAACAAAACAATTATAAACACTTGAACTTTGGCAAAAACTTAACTCTAATTACTTTACAATTAAAACAGGACTTCTACTCATAATTAGTACAAATCCTAATCTTGTGATTAAATTGGCAACGGCAGTTTAATCTATCGAACAGTTTGATGGAGTTCAAACAGTCTGATAGAGTTCGAACAGTCTGATAGAGTTCGAAATGTCTGATAGAGTTCGAGTAGTCTTATGGAGTTCGAACAGTCTGATGGAGTTCAAACAGTCTGATAGAGTTCGAACAGTCTGATAGAGTTCGAAATTTCTGACAGAGTTCGAACAGTCTTATGGAGTTCGATAAGTCTGATGGAGTTCAAACAGTCTTATAGAGTTCGAACAGTCTTATGGAGTTCGAACAGTCTGATAGAGTTCGAACAATCTGATGGAGTTCAAACAGTCTGATAGAGTTCAAATAGTCTGATAGAGTTTGAACAGTCTGATAGAGTTCTAAATTTCTGATAGAGTTCGAACAGTCTTATGGAGTTCGAACAGTCTGATGGAGTTCGAACAGTCTGATGGAGTTCAAACAGTCTTATAGAGTTCAAATAGTCTGATAGTGTTCGAACAGTCTGATAGAGTTGAGCTTGATACAACTGTGCGAGCGGTTCACGGAGCTTTGTTTTTTTTTCTTATTGGTCAGCAGTCATAAATCTAAATAATCAGAAGAACGGAAGCTCTTTTGCTCTAAATGGTAAACACCGATGAAAGGGACTGTAAGCGTAATTTCAATTGACCCTGCATGCAAAAATGGCAATGCCCGATTAACAACGGAACTTGAATGTGGATATTTTAGATTTTTCATGTTTAGAAGTTTTTACTTCTTACTTATCCATAATATTTTCAGAAGAAATGTCCCTTTTGTAGAGAAATCACAATTCAAAATAATTAGTTTTCAAAATTATAAACGATATTTGATTCATACTTGATCAGACAAAGCTTTTAAAGGTAAATACGCGTACAGTCCCTTTAATCAAATAAAACGTTAAGGAAAAGCTCAAAGTTTTCTCCGGCTATTATGATTTTTTATGAGAAAGATTATTTATGATTTTATACACATTACACACAGAGGAAAAACTCTTCCACGATGAAATAACATTAATATTCTATTTTAAACTTTTTTTCATCAAAAGTATATTTGTTGACACAATGTTGACACAAATAAAAGAACAACAGGGATATTCGGTAACTTTATTGAATAATAGCATGAAATGAGAAATAAAAGCAAAGTTTAAAAATATTGGCCCTTAATTGGGAGTATCTAAACGGTTGAAAATGAAATAACATTGATTAATAGTGTTGAAAGGAATGGAACAGTTGGAGCTTATAGTATTGTGAATCTTCCGCGGTCAACTTCGCTACACAGTAGTAATCGTCTTCGTGTTTTCTTGAATTTGTTACAATATTATGATGACTTGAAAGTAAATGTTTAAATTAAAAGATACTTCATATATTTCAAAAAAATAATTGTTTTAAACTTGCAGCTGTGAAACAATTATTAGGTAATTATCCAAAAATAGCTGTAATTAAGCTATTTGCTTAGGATCAACTTTAATTTTGGTAAAAAAAAAACTCTATTTTGTTCCCTGAACACTTTATCATAAATCTGAACATAACGCTGATTCTAAACACCTTATCATAAATCTGAACCAGGCCCTGAATCTGAATCCTTAATCATATATCTAAACCTAATCCTGAATCTGAACCCTTAATCATAAATCTGAACCTAATCCTGAATCTGAACACCTTATCATAAATCTGAACCAGACCCTGAATCTGAACCCTTAATCATATATCTAAATCTAATCCTGAATCTGAACACTTAATCATAAATCTGAACCTAATCCTGAGTCTGAACACTCTATCATAAATCTGAACCTGATCTTAAATCTGAACACTTTATTATAAATTTGAACCTAATCCTGAATCTGAACACTTTATCATGAATTTAAACCTAATCCTGAATCTGAACACTTAATCATAAATCTGATCCTAATTCTGAATCTGAACCCTTAATCATATATCTATACCTAATCCTGAATCTGAACCCTTAATCATAAATCTGAACCTAATCCTGAGTCTGAACACTTTATCATAAATCTGAACCTAATTCTGAATCTGAACCCTTAATCATAAATCTGAACCTAATTCTGAGTCTGAACACCTCATCATAAATCTGAACCTGATCTTAAATCTGACCACCTCATCATAAATCTGAACCTGATCTTAAATCTGACCACCTCATCATAAATCTGAACCTGATCTTAAATCTGACCACCTCATCATAAATCTGATAAATCCACAATTCCTTCAGAGTTTTTTCGTAATATAGCCCCCAGTTGTTTTCTAATGATATTCCTAAAAGTAATAAATCCTATACTGACTTTTTAAAGAACCCAGTTGATGATATTCTAGGAATGGGAGCACAGTTAATACCTAAAAATAGTTCTGGTATTGATAAAAAAAAATCAGAACAAGTTCTGCCAAGCATTGTAAATCCTGTCAAACACATTTTTAACCTTTCTTTTCAAACTGGGTATATTCCCTTAGAATTGATGAGCTTTAGTTCCTGTACACAAATCGGATTCTGATATTTATTTAACAATTATCGACCTATAGGTTAACTGCCATCTAAGTGCAAACTTTTAGAAAAATGTCCTGCTAAACAAATGTATGGATTTATTGAGAAAATAAGAATCTTTATAATTTTCAATTTGGATTTAGGCGTAATCACAATACAACACAGCCTGTTCTTCATTTTTGGGAGAAAATATATAATGCATTGAATAATGACGATCCAGATTTCAGAATACACTATTTCCATCTGTTTTGAAACAGTATCACACCGAATAAAAACTATGGTTTCAGAGGACTCTCTCATCTTTGGCTCGCTAATTATCTGAATGGTAGAAAACAAGTTGCTTCAATGAATGGAATAGATCACGTGGATTTAACGGTTCTGTCAATATTTCAGAAAGCTGTGATTTTCGATCACAATTTGACCCCTTATACATAATTTTATAGCCTTTCTTCTTAAATAATTTTTGTTGGTATGTACATTTTGAATGAAAAAGTATAATAAACAAATCCGTAAGTTTAAAGATTGTAGAAATATAGACGAAAACACGTTTGATTTCAAATAGAAGAAACCGAATGCTTCTCTCTTTGGTTAGTTCTGAGTAAGATTTAGACTCACTACAAATATGTGTAGAAGTCTACATACAACATTATTCTTATTTACCCTATACTATTTGCCTGTATCAAGGAATCTGCTAACCACCATTGTGAACCATATCCCTAATGTAACCCTGTTTCAAAGGTCGTCTCCGACAGATTGTATCTCCGTTGAATACTCCGTACTCCGGCCATCCGCCAAACCAAACCTTGCCAAGGATTTTACATAAATAACCTCATGGATCTAGTAAAACTTAAAGTGCATCAAAAAGAACCTATTTAAACACAATTTTCAGTGAATCATTTACATATAAACAGTGAACTTAACAAGTTGCTTCAATGAATGGAATAGATCACGTGGATTTAACGGTTCTGTCAATATTTCAGAAAGCTGTGATTTTCGATCACAATTTGACCCCTTTTACATAATTGTATAGCCTTTTTTCTTCTCTGGTTAGTTCTGGCTGAGATTTAGACTCACAAAAAATACGTGTAGAAGTCTACATACAACATTATTCTAATTTACCCTATACTCTTTGCCTGTATCAAGGAATCTGCTAACCACCATGCACAGTATCTGGTATATCTCATCGCTCTATAGTACAGTTTAATATCTCGGGCTAGTTTATACAGCCAGAGGCCGAATTTAATGAATTTGAACCGCTTCACTGAACGGCTAATCACTAATTGCGCACTAGCTCAAATCTTAAAACACTGATTTTAATTTTATGTTGAACCAACCCTGCTTAAATCGCGTCTATATGCTGTGCAAATTCTTTAAATTCGGTCTCTGAATTCTTTCTAGTCCGCAAACTAGTGTCTGTAATTGCAAATATGTATACTATATCACTGCTTTTATCCCAAGAGCATTATTTGTACATATATTGTTATCATTTAGCCTGTAAGCTAGTTTGAAATATACATTATTATCATTACTATTATTATTACTATTTACAGCCATAACTTGAGTGAAACAGCCGTCTTATTCCACAGTTATATGGATCTCGCAGTATGTATATTATACATATTTGAATCCTCTACTTTAGAAATATACACCCTTGGAGGCCGTCACTGTATGCACTGTGTTTGAGAGTATAATTGCAGTGGAAAACACTGGCTCACATTGTTCAAAAAGACGAATTGAAAAGCTCCCTTTTACAGGCTTTTCGACAGATGGGACCCCCTGCTCCGGCCTAAACTCTCTGCTAAATCTGAACCATTTTTACCCCC